CAGGTGGAAAAAACACGTGGTAATTACAATTCTAAAAAAAATGCTATTAAAATGCATTAGTTACAAGGTCAGAAATCAGAATGCAAAAGTTCCTTTGGACCGGGTTCATGCAGTATTAGATTTAGTTTAAGCTTGTTGGTCAAGTGCTAGTGACAAATCGATCTTGGAAACTTCATACATTTAACTACGCATTGGGCGATCATTATGATTTAAACTTTTAATCTAACAGTTACATATATTATGTCATATTAGAATGCATCTAGCATAACAATAGGAGTGCAGTTGGACAGGTCACCCATAACCTATTAACTAATAGACCTTTAATATCAATTCATAGTAAGCTTCTCTGCCTACAAAAGTTGACTACAATTCTACACAATAATTCGGTAATTGTATTGCGATGTTTAAATAATTCATAGTAAATTACATTCTTTCGTTCAAATGGAAAGATGTTAGCTCATTTAATTTCTTAAAATTATTTTGATAATAATCCAAACTTTACGGTTATAGATCTTTACGTTTTCAAGAGAAGCGGGTAGTCTCATTTTCCGTTGAGGACACTGGATTAAATTTTCTTAAATTGATTCTTTGCAAAGGACCCATTTCTGAACCCAGATTTATAATGTTGATTACGCCAGATTTAACTTTTCTTGATTCTTCGCATAATATATAGTGATCGATTGTTACGCCAGACAAGGTTTTCTGGAGAGCTAATACTTAATTGTATATATAATTTAAATCATATTATGAGAAAAAATAAGTAAATAAATCTCAAAAGATCTCAAATGTTGCTGTATATGTAAGACGTTTTTTTTAATTAGTAAGGGGTAAAAAATTTGTAGATGTTAATAAATTTTAGACATATAAACAATAAGAACCCTCACTGCACACTAGAGAGTTCTAATTCTGTGGTATTTTTATGTAGTTAGAGTAATCTGCCCTTAGATCTAAAATAAAATAAATTGAAATCTGCAGTTTATCAATCAATTGTAATCAATTCAAGCATTCTTAGCATTTTGATAGGCCAACATAAATTAATTGAACACTTCATATGCATTCTTTTTCCCCACTTATAAGGTAAACAAATGTGAATTCTGTTCATCAAAACTTTGTTGACTTTGAACATTTTTCCTGGGGGTAAAGGCCTGGCACCCTATGTTTGAAATGATATAAATAAGCTCAATATTTATACCTTTATACAACATATTTTTTCTCAATGTCCAAAAACATTTTTGTGGAGTGTAAAGAGGGTCCTTAAGTACGATAAACGTTTTTACTTATAAAACGTTTATGACATGCATTAATGATGTATTTGTGTGTTTTATTGCCAAAGTAGGGGTGCATTTTAATTAAATCTAGCTTAAAGAAGTAATTTTCAAAACGCAATCTTATAGGAACTAGGTACGGAGAAAATAGGGCATTTAGCTAAATGAATATCTAGATGTCGTGGCGCACACATGATGAACAGGTCTTAAAAAATATCATTTTCCCTTTTCAAATTATCTCTATACATTATACGGATTTTATGATTAAGTATCAAATGTAACATTTGATTCGTATAATTGATTTCTCAAACATAGAAAATTTCGAATTGCATAACCCTGCGGGCACCTGTTCTCACGTGTCACAGGTAAGATCACGTGTCTCGTTAACACCTGTGAGGATCCAGTCAATCCCTTATGTGTATATTTTGTATATTCTATGTAAATTGCCAGGTTTTTTCTACCCAAGGTGAACAATAGGGCTTAATTGATCAGGTATACACATAGATTATCTATGTGTAAAAGTGAATTAATCCAAAGATAAAGCCAAAAAGAAAAATACAAAAGGAAAAACAAAAACAAAAAAAAAACAAAAAACAAAATTAATAAATAAATGAATAAATTATAATAATAATAATAATAAAAACAACACCCTCAAAAACTGTTCGTTCAACATGTTACACTTAACACGGGAAAATTCATCCTTATATCATACAAATGATTGACAACTGATTTCTCCCTTGTCGAGCAAAAAAGTAATAAAGTCAAGGATAAAGATGTCATTGTCTGAATTTTTTAATCGAGATTTTAAGAAAGAAGTGAATAAGAAGATTCCATATAAAAAAAAAAAAGATTATCATTTATATAAAAATTATATAAACATTTTTTTAAGAATTCAAGCATGAAGTACCAACCATACAGTAAAATAATATAAAAAAGGATACAGAAACTTTTCGAATTTTTACTTATTATTTGTTTCGTATTTGATGAAAGTCAGCAAAAAAATGGAAATCGCATTCTTCTACTATTGTGTTTTGCAACATTAGGCATATAATTGCATGTGCATTAAATTATAAGAGCAAAATTTTAAGGCAAAATATTTTGATATTTTTTTTTTTTAATTTTTTTTTTTTTTTACAAAGAATTGGTATTGAAAGAAGTTCGACCCCCCCCCCCCCCCCCCCGAAATATGATTTTCGGGTTTTGACAATTTTTCTTTTGTGATTTTTTTAGCTTTGATTTTTTTTCTCTTTCAATTAGCCCCCCCCCCCCCCTTCCAATTTGCTTACGACGCCTATGTCTCTAGCTACCTTTACTGTCATAACTAAAAAGAAAAGAACGGAGTCCCAGATAGCAAGCTTACGTTGGGCCAACGCAAGCCCAACAGTGAAAACTGCGTTGGCCCTCCGTCAGTTTTACATGTATGCGTTGGCCTAACATCATCTTGCTCATCGGTCCTACGTTCAACCAACATGTTGGCTCAACAATGGCCCAACGTTTAACTTCCTGTTGGCCCAATGTTGATTCAATGTTTTTTTAAAGCTAAGAATGAATGTTGGACCAACATTGGCCCTACGTTCTGTAAACATGTTGGCAAATGATCGGCGATTGAATTATTTTAGTTCAACAATATGAATTCCTGTAACCTTTTTATTTCCATAATTACGAGTAAAACACAATTGATTGAATAAATCCTGCATGATAAATTATCTTGTTCCTCAAACAGATGTTCTATTTTTTTGTCACTCCTATGGAATGAAATCAACAGAGGGAAATAAAGGTAGTTCAATGTTTTCTTAAGTTTATCCCATATCATTTCAGTCGCTATATAACATTCCTCTAGAATAAGAGTCCCAGTGTTCAAATTTGTGAAACTTTGGAATGTTCTCCTGCCCATATTACTTCTGAACCATTCACTCCTTTTTTCCTGTTCATGTTATTGTTTCTTTGTCTGTAAAATCCATGTCTCACACTGATAATTGAGATAAATCACTCACTGTCCATTACATTCCAAACATCAATGGTCTTGTAACACAAAGGGTTTTCTCCCCACCAGATGCTATAAATGATATGAAAAATATATCAGTTTAATCCGTTCAAAAATGATGTCACTTACTACTTATAAGTTATAACTTAAAGAGATTACTAGTAAATATACATGCATATTTTGAAAATTGCAATTCTTGAATAACTTGTTCAATTTTACAAACTATGCTCAAGTTAAAACTTTTACAGAGTTAAAATTCTATCAATCACACCTAAAACGACTATACTTACATTTCATTGGCTAAAACAATCCATTTTCTCTGTCTTGCGATTCAAAACGGACACGCACAAGTATATGCTTTGTTCAAGTGTTGCAAGTGATAAGATGTGACCACTCCGAGTTTACGAAACAGAGCTGATTAGGATGCCTGTTTCCTAGGAAACCAGCCAGTCACCTGCTGAGCCAGTGGATTTCACCACTGACCTAATTATTTGGAGCTCTAAAACTCAGCACTTAAGTTCCATGATGCTAAATATAGAATCTACAAAATTATATACTGTGCAGAATAATTAAAACTTCTACATGTATTTGCAATGGTCTCGGACTCAAATTACAAACATAAATCAGTATTAAAAATTTTATTTTCATAAATTAGGTTCTGGAATAATTTTTCATTTTTTATTAACACATACACTGTAAATTATTAATAAATGGGCTATTAAGATAATCCATTGTTCATAATATTTTAACGAAAGATGAGATGTCTCTATTGAAAGAAGCTTAATTGGTTCTAAAAGATACAAATTTAATATGTGTAATTAACAGATCACCAACATGTATGTTAATGAAAGTTGATTTTATCCCAATATTCACTCCATTGAACAAACGCTGGGCCAACGTTGAAAGCCATATCAATACCTCACTATAATCAAAATTTACTACGTTGGGCCAACATTGGACCAACATTACATGCCCAACACACATTTCATGTGTTTCATGTCAACATTACTTGGTTTGCCCTATGTTGGGCCAACGTTACATCCCAACACACAGTGGCTTTGTTTTAAGCCAACATCTACTTGGTTGGACCTACGTTGGGCCAACATCAAATGCCCAACATATAATGGTCATGTTTCATGCCAACATTTACTACAATGGACCAACATTGGCCCAACATCGCATACCCAACACCGATGGACCAGCTTTCACGCCAACATATCATCCGTTGGGCCAATGTTGGGCCAACATTTACCGCCCAACGCCAACACTATACCAACCTACCAACCATCAACCAACGTTGGCCCGATGTAGTCTTGCTATCTGGGGTTTTGCTTCAGAATTTTTTTTTTCATTGTGATAAAACAGAAATATCTTAATATTAATTATACTCAATGTTATATGTATTGTAGTATTTTAAGCATATAATTGTGATATATAATGCTTCATGCTGATATATATTTCTTCATATTATGTATGTTTTTTTAAAGGAAGTGGAAAAGAAAAAAAGGGCCGAAATTCTGAACTAAAAGTGTCCATTCAGTGACCATGTTTTTTTTTTCTTTCTTTCTGTGTTGTAAAACAAGGGGAACCATTTTGATTTTATGGGGTGCCGCTAGGTGGCGCGTCACGTGGGTTTGTACGCTTCCTGATTGGACAAAAAAATTGGCGCGATCTCTCATTCCATGTTTTGATCGCTGAGAGAGAAAGACGGAAAGATGGCAGAAGCGATGATGGAGCGCGTTTTGAGGGAAATGGCTGAGATCAGGGGCCTCTTCGACTCCGCATCGAAGAAGAAACCACTCAGGATGCCTGACGGAATTCAGGTAACATTATTTTTGATCACATTTTCAGTTAGTTTTGTAGTTTAAGCCCTTGCGGAATGAGCTGATTTCTGTAAAAATGGCGGTAACGAAGAATTTCAAACGGACGAAATTTTGTTATGGATTAAATTTGAATTTGTTAAGTTTATTGTTATATCAATGAAATGCAAGAAATACAGACATACTGAAACATAAAATGAAGGATAATAATTCCAGAATATAAGATTTAAAGTGTCTTTGAAAGTGCCTTTATCTCGTGTGTAATTCGTGTACCGCCATCATTAGCTATTCACTGATGTAAGTTTTTTTTAAACGTTAAAAAATTGTGTATAAAAATATGTATAAATGCATGTTACCTTTTACCGATGTTTGTACTAGTTTAATGAACAAATGATACTCATTTTATGCTCAAGCAAGAAAGGGAGGTAACTTTTGATTAGCTTAGAATGATTAAAAGATTGGTATTAAGTACAGTGTCTTTCAATAATTCCTCATTACTTAAACAATTTGATGATGTCTGTGTGTCAGTGTGTGAAGTTCGAGATCCCCAAAAATTTAGATCTCCCTAGCCTTCTGCTTTTGGTGTAATTCTTCTATTCTCTATTGTTGCCCGCGTGGCGCATTGGTTAGAGCGTCTGCTCTAGAGTCGTGAAGTAAGGAGTTGATCCTTATGTCACTGGTTCGAATCCCACTGCGGGATGTGGAGACCGGTCCTTCGGATGAGACCGTATAAACCGAGGTCTTGTGTCGCAGTAGGTGCTGGCACAAAAAAAATCCCTCACTGCTCAATGGTCTTAAGTGCCGAGTATAGGTCAAAATTTGTAGCCCTCCACCGGCAAGTGGTGACGTCTCCATATGAGTGAAAAATTCTCGAGAGTAACGTTGAACAACAAACAATCAATCTATTCTCTATTGCTAAACTACACACCATAAAATTCAAATCTTTGCTTTAAAAAATGCCATGCTTAAAAATGTGTTACTAAGAGGTTTGTCTTATAAAATTGTGTGAAAGTTAGACCTATGAAAATCATGACCAGCATAGGCAATCGTTATGTAAACGGGGCACCCCTTACTTATTTTTACCACAAGCTATGCTCGGCAGCCTTTGGTTTTATCCTACATTTAGAATAACATCTACTTTGGTATCCCATTCAAAGTCTTATTTTGTATAGAGGTAATTTTCAAGGAATAAATGAGTGGTTTACAATAAAGGGGCTCGACCAGAGACATCAGATTTAATTGACAAGAAAAAGTCTCGAGAAGCAATCAATGTCATTTTAAAGTAGGTAAATGATTAATAATACAGGCTTGAAGCGGGGGTGCCTGAAATAGTATAGAAAATGATTTATATAAACTAAGGTCATAAAAGATTATAAGAAAATTTACAATTTATACCACAGAGAGATTACATTGTGATAGGCAAGCTTTTGACCATTAAGTCGTGAGTCGTAAGTTAAGAATGGGACTTGCAAGTTTTAGGATGTTGTTTTACAGAACCTTTTGTGAGTAACTTATTTGAAAATTATGTAAACATCATCAGTTTTTATATGAAATACAAGATTTTAGGGTCACTAGATTGGGAAAACTATCGACATTTTGGGTCAGACTGGGAAATTTTACATTCATGCAATGATTTAAAACAAAAAAATGAATTGGTTTTAAACTAACACAATTTAATTTTTTTATGTACACACAATGTACAGTTTGTGATATTGGGAGTTTCTTGACAAGTTAATTGGGAATTTTGGGTGTTTTCCCAATTGGGAAGGGTCCGTTTATCTGATACAAATCAGAGAGATTGACCGCCTTGGATATGGTATGATTTAAATTATACAGAATCATATAATGCGAGACATCAAAATAGGACAATACAAATAATTGAACATTGTCTCTGAAATGCCAGCAAAATGAGAATTTAGATTACACCCCAAAACGAAAAGAGTAGGCACTAGGCAGGTCTGAAATTATCAATTTTTAGATCACTTGATCTGAGAGCAGATCATTATTTGTAATATTCAGGGACAGACATTGACTTTCAGATTCACTTGCCCAAAGGGCAAGTGATCTCAAACTTTGACTTGTACAAATACAAAATGGTTGCCCAAAATTAATTTCAAGGAAGAAAATTATATTTTTAAGGCCTAAAAAAAAAATTATGTTTGTTTCCTGTAAACTGACCGACCCATTCAAATTACCCCTGGGTGGATTTTTTTCTGCCAAATCTGCGTTTGCTCTTTTTGTTTGATCATTCAGCTGATTCTATATATTCAAAAAATATTAATTGTATCTTTATTTGAGATATAAAATATCAGGGTTTTTTTAGGGGTTGTAGGGGGCCTGTAATAGGCCCCATTCCCAATGGTAAAAAGTGTGTGTTTTTCCCAATTTCATCAAAGAAAATTCCCAAAAGACAATTCGAAACATGACATTAATGTCAATTATTCTAAATATAATAGAAAAAAATTAAACTTAAATAAAACTTCAGAACAGCAAATAATTAAGATGATTTTCAATAAAGATTTATTGCATGTAAATAAGTCAATAAATGCCTTGCAAATAAAGAAATGGCTCCTAATTGAATTTATCTCGAATAATGTGAATTGGGATATTTTTCCCAATTTTAACTAAATGGCGCTATTTTTTCCCAAATGGAAAAGCCCAGGCCCTTGATTTTAAGATCTAAAAAAAAAAACCTGAATATGTCAACTTAGTCAACTTTTACCTTAAATATAAAGAGTAATCATTATTGTAATCTTGAACAATTTCTCCAACAACTTTTTGAAGTTCATTTTCTGCCGCTAGGCAGCCATGTTGGGTGTCCACTGTAAATATAACACCTGGATAATTCAGTCCGAGGATGTTTGACTCCCTTATTCATAAGCAAAAAGAAAAAAAATCCCGACCTACTGACTCTTGATTTTTTGGGAGTGTTACAGGAAACAAACATTTTTTTTTAGGCCTAACTGTAAAATGTTATGATAAGAAATTGGATGTCCCTACTTTTACAGTCATCTTTTAACAAAAGGGTTCACATTATGTAGCACCCATGCTTACATGTAAATATTGTGGAAACATATTTACATTGGTGTCCGATTTTTTTTTCCTCCTTTCAACATAACTGTAGAATGTAGGTCATGATCATTGTGCAATTGTGTATTCATGTAGCATGTGCACTTCGTTGAAGTATTAACCCACGGTTCACAGAGTAAATAAGCAATGATAATAATTATTGGATGTTTATTTAAGCATGTTAATGCTAAAATATGACATTGAAATTATGTGTTTAACGAATCATTTTGATCTTGGAACATCAATGCTATTTATAGAATGACCCACATGTGCATTAACAAGTGTATCACTTTCACCTGTGTACTATCTGACAGCAATTAATTATATTTATACGCCCGTCTTTAGACGGGACGTATTATATTATCAGTCTATGCGAAAGACATCAGACCGTCAAACCTGACCGATGTGCAGTGCCTCTGGTCTGATGCATCATTTTTTACACAGGACCAGAATGTCCGATGCCTCAGCATCCAGTTTTGAGGTTTACTTTTTTGACGCGGAGTCATTCAAATGTTTGTTACAAGTAAAAAAATATCGCACAAACCCAAATACGTAAATGAATTGATTAAAACTGCATGGACCATCTACAGTAATAAGATTTCCTTAGTTCTGCATTTTCATGTATTTCACTTTTTTACATTAGGTTTTTCAGTCTGACAAAATTTGGTTCGGTCCTGTTTGTTCATTGATTAGGCCAAAAAAAAATAATAGTCTTGTTTCCTGCTACCAGCCTGAAAAAAATATGGTAGGTAGGTAGGAAAATAATTTATTTTATATTTTTATTTTATTTTTTTCCGACGGCATTTTTTAGGATATGAACTAATACAAGATCAAATTAAACATGTCACAGGTCAATATTGTCTTTTAAAATAAAACTTTCATGTCTTTTTATGCACAGCTCAAGTGGTATTTTATGAAAGTCCATATTTAAAACAAGAATTTCTTGAAATGCTTATTTTGTGTTAACACAGAAACCGATTACGGTGACAGATCCATGAAATTTCAGAAATTCCCGATTTTTTTTCTTCCAAAACTTAAAAAAAAAAACCTTAAGGGTCGGGTGCAAAAAAATAGGGTAGGTCGGGTAGCAGGAAACGAGACTATTATTATTTTTGGCCTTACACAGGACCGAATGTCCTGTGTGGTCCAAAAAACTTTTGCATAGACTGTGTTATGGCGTTCATGTCCGTCTGTCCGTCCGTCTGTCTGTCTGTTAGCTTTTCTTGTGTTTCTCGTTAGGCCTAGGATTATCAAACTTTGTCAGCTGATACTTCTTGGGTCGCACACTAAAAGTATGTCGCTCTGACCTTTAATTAAGATGCTATGGCCAAATATGGAAAAATCCTGTCTGGTTCATAACTAGAAAACTATTGGACAGAATCATTAAACTTGGCCAATTTATGCGTCTTGGGTAGAAGGTGTGTCGCGACCTATTTCAAGGTCACTGTAACCTTTAATTAAAGTGAAATTAAAAAAAACCTGTCTTTTTACTATTAGATTACACAATCCCAAAAAAATGCAAGAGTGTTGCAGTATCCTTATTAAAAAATGTTAAATCAAGAAAATACTTGGTTTTTTTTTATTATATACTTTACAGCAATCTGTAACAAATGTAATGTTACAAGAGAAATTCCACCTCTCCCATGGGTGTAATTATCAAGCACTGGTCAAGGAGAATTTGATAGCAGAAAATTGCATGTCAAATTAGAGAGAAATTTATGAGTTTAGTGTGCAGAGCTAACTGGTAGAACATCTCTGATCAAGCAGGTGTTGTCTATATCTCTTGGGAACTGGGCAAAAAGAGTCAGCCTTGTTGACTAGGCCATAACTTTTAAAATGAATTTGGTGAAAAGTAATTAAAACTTATTTGATATTGTATAATAAATTAATTTGATATTGTAAAATAAACTAATTTGATATTTTATAAAATTATA